CCAGGGCACGGTGATCGTGGAGCGCTGCTGGCCGGTGCCGCTGGCCCGGGCCGGGGCCTCTCCCCGGCTGCACCCGCGGCGGCACCGCGTGTACCGACTGCTGCAGGACGGCAAACACCGGCCCCGGGAGAGCATGGAGCTGCTGCTGACCCGGGCTGTGGAGGGTGAGAGAGAAACCACCGGGGATTACCGGGAATTCCTGTGTTCCCGGCACTTTCATCCCAGGAATTCCCGTGTTCCCGGCGCTTTCATCCCGGGAATTCCCGTGTTCCGAGTACTTTCATCTGGGGAATTCCCGTGTTCCTGGCACTTTCATCCCCGTGAGCGATTTCCCGGGAATTCCTGCATTCCCGGCGTTTTCATGCCACTTTTCCCGGGAATTCCCATGTTCCCAGCACTTTCATCCCCACATTCCCAGCACTTCTGTCCCATGTGTCCCAAGAATTCCCATGTTCCCTGCATTTACATCCCTTGAGCGATTTCCCGGAATTCCTGAGAATTTCTGGATTCCCTGCACTTTCATCCCCGTGAGGGATATCCCAGGAATTCCCGGGTATTCCTGTGTTCAGGCACTTTCATCTCCATGAGTGATATCCCAGAATTCCTGGGAATTCCCATGTTCCCGGCACTTTCATCTCCATGAATGATATCCCAGGGATTCCCAGGAATTCCCGTGTTCCCAGCACTTTCATCCCTGTGAGCCATTTCCCAGGAATTCCTGTATTCCCAGCACTTTTCTGGCAGTTTTCATCCTCTTTCATCCCGGGAATTCCCATGTTCCTGGCACTTTCATCCCCATGAGTGATGTCCCAGGGATTCCCAGGATTTCCTGTGTTCCTGGCACTTTCATCCCGGGAATTCCCGTGTTCCCTGCACTTTCATCCCCATGAGTGATATCCCCCGAGGATTCCCGGGAATTCCCATGTTCCCGGCACTTTCATCCCGAAAATTCCTGTCTTCCTAGCCCTTTCATCCCTGTATTCCCAGCACTTTCATCCCATTTGTCCTGGGAATTCCCGTGTTCCCGGCACTTTCATCTCCATGAATGATATCCCGGAATTCCCGAGAATTCCCGTCTTCCTGGCACTTTCATCCCCGTGAGCGATTTCCCATTTCCCGGGAATTCCTGCATTCCCAGCCCTTTCATCCCATTTGTCCCGGGAATTCCCATGTTTCCGGCACTTTCATCCCCGAATTCCCAGCTTTTTTATCCCGTTTGTCCTGAGAATTCCCATGTTCCTGGCATTTACATCCCCGTGAGCGATTTCCCGGGAATTCCTGCATTCCCAGCCCTTTCATCCCGTTTGTCCCAGTTGACTTTTGACCCTAAAAACCCCACAATTTCATGGAATTTCTGTGTAAATATATAGAATTTCTGTTTAATTTTACAGAATTTCTGTAAAATTCATGGAATTTAACTCTCTTGGGATCGACCCCCCACCTTGCCACAAGAATTTGGGATTTTCCCAGTGTTCCCAGTTGACTTTTGACCCTATAAACCCCACAATTCCATGAAATTTCTGTTTAATTTAATGGAACTTTTATAAAATTTTTGGAATTTAACCCCCTTTGGATGCACCTCCCACCCCACCACAAGAACTGGGATTCTCCCAGTGTTCCCAGTTGACTTTTAACCTCCAAAACCCCACAATTTCATGGAATTTTGGTAAAATTAATGGAATTTCTTTTTAATTTTATGGAATTTTTATAAAATTTCTGGAATTTTACCACCCTTTGGATGGACCCCCCACCCCACCACAAGAATTTGGGATTTTCCCAGTGTTCCCAGTTGACTTTTAACCCCCAAAACCCCACAATTTCATGGAATTTTTATTTAATTTTGCAGAATTTCTGTAAAACTTTTGGGATTTAACTCCTTTTGGATGGATCCCCCATCCCACCACAGGAATTGGGATTTTCCCAGTGTTCCCAGTTGCCTTTTAACCCCCAAAACCCCACAATTTCATGGAATTGTGGTAAAATTAATGGAATTTCCATATAATTTTATGGAATTTTTATAAAATTTCTGGAATTTTACCACCCTTTGGATGGACCCCCACCCCACCATGAGAATTGGGATTCTCCCAGTGTTCCCAGTTGACTTTTAACCTCCAAAACCCCACAATTTCATGGAATTTTGGTAAAATTAATGGAATTTCTATTTAATTTAATGGAACTTTTATAAAATTTTTGGAATTTAACCCTCTTTGGATGGACCCCCCCACCCCACCATGTGAACTGGGATTCTCCCAGTGTTCCCAGTTGACTTTTGACCTCCAAAACCCCACAATTTCACGGAATTTTTGTTTAATTCTACAGAATTTCTGTAAAATTTCTGGAATTTTACCCCGTTTGGATGGACCCCCCACCCCACCACAAGAACTGGGATTTTCCCAGTGTTCCCAGTTGACTTTTGACCCTATAAACCCCACAATTCCATGAAATTTCTGTTTAATTTAATGGAATTTTTATAAAATTTCTGGAATTTTACCCCCTTTGGATGGACCCCCCACCCCACCACAAGAATTTGGGATTTTCCCAGCGTTCCCAGTTGACTTTTGACCCCAAAACCCCACAATTTAATGGAATTTTGGTAAAATTAATGGAATTTCCTTTTAATTTTATGGAATTTTTATAAAATTTCTGGAATTTAGCCCCCTTTGGATGGACCCCCACCCCACCACAAGAATTTGGGATTTTCCCAGTGTTCCCAGTTGACTTTTGACCTCCAAAACCCCACAATTTCATGGAATTTCTGTGCAAATATATAGAATTTTTATTTAATTTTATGGAATTTTTGTAAAATTTCTGGAATTTAACCCCCTTTGGATGGACCCCCCACCCCACCACAGGAACTGGGATTCTCCCAGTGTTCCCAGTTGACTTTTGACCTCCAAAACCCCACAATTTCATGGAATTTTTGTTTAATTTTACAGAATTTCTGTAAAATTTCTAGAATTTTACCCCCTTTGGATGCACCTCCCACCCCACCATGTGAACTGGGATTCTCCCAGTGTTCCCAGTTGACTTTTAACCTCCAAAACCCCACAATTTCATGGAATTTTGGTAAAATTAATGGAATTTCCATATAATTTTATGGAATTTTTATAAAATTTCTGGAATTTTACCACCCTTTGGATGGACCCCCCACCCCACCACAAGAACTGGGATTCTCCCAGTGTTCCCAGTTGACTTTTAACCCCCCAAACCCCACAATTTCACGGAATTTTTGTTTAATTTTACAGAATTTTTGTAAAATTTCTGGAATTTTACCCCTTTTGGATGCACCCCCCACCCCAACACAAGAATTTGGGATTTTCCCAGCGTTCTCAGTTGACTTTTAACCCCCAAAACCCCACAATTCCATGGAATTTTGGAAAAATTAATGGAATTTCCTTTTAATTTTATGGAATTTTTATAAAATTTCTGGAATTTTACCCCCTTTGGATGGACCCCCCACCCCACCACAGGAACTGGGATTCTCCCAGTGTTCCCAGTTGACTTTTAACCCTATAAACTCCACAATTCCATGAAATTTCTGTTTAATTTAATGGAATTTCTGTAAATTTCTGGAATTTTAACCCTCTTTGGATGTACCCCTCACTCCACCACAGGAACTGGGATTCTCCCAGTGTTCCCAGTTGACTTTTAACCCCCAAAACCCCACAATTCCATGGAATTTTGGTAAAATTAATGGAATTTCCTTTTAATTTAATGGAACTTTTATAAAATTTTTGGAATTTAACCCTCTTTGGATGGAACCCCCACCACAAGAACTGGGATTCTCCCAGTGTTCCCAGTTGACTTTTGACCCTATAAACCCCACAATTCCATGAAATTTCTGTTTAATTTAATGGAATTTTTATAAAATTTCTGCAATTTAACCCCCTTTGGATGGACCCCCCATCCCACCATGTGAACTGGGATTCTCCCAGTGTTCCCAGTTGCCTTTTCCCGTTTTTCCTGGCAGATTTGGGGAGCCGTGGGGACGTGGTGAACGTGGACAAACGTCTGGGGAGGAACAAACTCCTTCCCCAGGGCCTGGCCCTGTACCCGACCCCGGAAAATCTCCGCATCTTCCAGGAGGAGAAAAAGGTCAGCAGAACCCAAAAAACCCCCAAAAATGGGGAAAAAAGCAGGAATTTGGG